AAAATATGAATACAAACATAGAATTCGATACACAAACTCTTCAATATATATATATATATATATATATATATATATATATATATTTGGTGTTTCTATTTTTGTTTCTCACTGTAGATACGAATGAAGGAGCAGAATTAGAAGGAGAGCAATAAGAATGAACTCAGTGGGAGTCTGAGACAAGAACAACGTACTTGTTCATCAGTTGACGCCGTGCACGTGCAGTACTTCCCTCTTGTGGAAGTTCCTGTGGCAGCCACAAGCAGCACACGTGAGCGCCGCACTCGATCCTTCTCCGGCGCTGGCCATGAATTCCCTGCAACCATCCACAGCGTAACCTCCCGTGTTCGCTGCATGATTCTTCTGGCACTCACCGTATCTTATGTTCCCCACCGCAGAAGATGACGTCCCATATTCTCTTTTCACCACCACTTGCCTCTTTTTCATCTTCGCCACAAACCCTAACCAATTCCCTCGATTTCCCTACCACAACACTGAGTCTGGGATTAGTCCTTCTCTCCTTCCTTTCAGTTCTTCATTGGATCCAAAACCAACACAGAAAACGGGATAGCTAAACTGCTGTATGTCTGTATAGTATATACAATTAATTTATAGTTGGGGAATATATATATTAACCCTAACCCTAGCATGTAGATTTATAAAATGGGTAGTAGGGGTAGGGGTAGGGGTAAGCGGTAGTTAGGATGAGGGGATGGAAAATATGATCATAATTCATGAGGAATTGACCAGAAGTTTTTGGTGCTTTGTTTTTGAAGGACAGGCAGAAGGGAGTACTTAGTCACCAAATCATTAATTATTGTTGGTGTGTGAGCCAATGAAGGCACAACACATCATCAAGACGGAGCGGTGGTTCTTTTTAATTGGCTACAACGCAAGAGAAAGGCTCAAGTGTGTTTATTATAACACGATGATGATGATGATGATCATCTGTTTGTTTTGGAAGTATATATAATTAGTAACGGCAAGTCTCAGTACAGCTATGTGGAGCACTTTGATCGAGAAGAGGACAAAACTTGAAATGGGAGCTCAAGGAGGGAATGCTTGTCCTCACACTAGCCATACAACCCTGGACTTGTCTTCATGAATTGATAGCTCACCTATCTCTAGCTAAAGCCTCTCTTCCAAAACAAGAAAATGAAAATTGGACCAAAGAATAATGCGTTTAGGCTAGCTGTATATGCACGGCAAAATTGGTAAGAAATAAGTATGGTGAGACTTGAGAGTAAAAGGCATTTTGGCCAAACACAAAAATTAACCTATTTAAGTAGAGTCAGCCGCTAATTTTATATCTGCAGTGGGTCCAATTTGATACTCAAAAGGCAGATTGCAGTGGCCCTTGCTACTGTGACAACAACTCTTGTAAGATTCTAATAATTATAAGACCATTCCCCCACTCTCTTATATGAATTGTGGACCCTTATCTTTTCTCCTTTCGATCAAATCAAGATTCAAGGACAATATCATAGCTTTGTTAATTTTTTCAATATTATATGCTCTTCAACAATAGCTATCTGTCATTACCAAAGCTAGCTAAAACAATTTTTTTACGTTTGTGTATGTGTGTATTTGTTATTTACCCAGAAAAGAAACAATTTATGGTTTATAATCTTCCAATTGAACTTGTTCGTCCTCTGAATTGAACATGACAATGACATTCTTAGTTTTAACGGCATGGTTTTGCAATTATAGGACGAACCTAGAAAATACAAATTAAAAGAGGAAAGAAAACAGAAGTGACCAACCAACCGGCCGTTTCCACAAGATCTGCGTATTTGAGATTTTGAAATATTCTTATTGTGCTGGAGAATGGATGGGGAAAAAAGAATACACCATAGACATGTTTGATGTTGAAAGGTATGGATTCTTCAATTAATCCATGAGTAATACATGTTCAAGCAGGCATGAGGAGCCTCCACAAACACCATCTCAAAGTAAAACTAGAAAGGACAAGCCCACAATGGGTCAGTAACATGTGCACATTTGAGAAGATGACAAAGGACAAGGACTCGTGCTTGTCAATCAGACATGGACGTAACTCATTTACATTAATTGGTGATGAATTGAAATACACCAAAAAGAGAGATGAATTGAAAAATCTCCTCAATTTGGCTGGTCAGGTCTCCACTTAAAAAATATAAGGATAATTAGTGATATATTTGAACTAGATAGAATGTTGGTTTTATTTATTTCCGCAAAGACCGCTCCATATATGGCAGCTTTAGATACTTCTATCATCATTATGATTATGAAAAACTCAATATGCCTAAAAATCGTACATTATTTAGAAATATAATTAAATAATCTCTTCCTTTAATTTGTCGATATATCTTTTTAAAGTACAAAATAATAGTCTAACAAGTGTTTAAATAGATTATACTTTAGATGTGAAACATCTAATTAATAATAAAATCGTGACGATCTAAAGTGTTGACTATACTTTATATATATGCCAAATGTCTTTTTAGGAAAGCTTAAGAAACATTACTTTGGATGCATAAATCCTAAAGATGTTGAGTAGACCTGAAGTCGAAATAAGTATTATTATGAGGATTACATATATATAAATGGCTTAGAATTGCAATATGTATGGGGAAAGGGAGAGGGTTTTTGAAGACATTGGCACAAGTTTGCCAGCGTTGAGATGTGAATTGTGTATAGCTTTCTAGTAGCAGAATTTATGAAGGCGTTGAAACAATGTGCTGTGATGCCTGGCTGTATAGTAATCTGTCCTTTTGGCTAACGTCAAGTACTGATAGAAGTGTGTGTGGCTGTTTAGTTCCATTGAAGACCATGCGTGTAGGGGGCACTTCTCCCATATTATTCCTACTCACACACGAACCACTACCCATATCTTCATGTCCTGCAGAAGCCAAAATTTCGTTATCTTACCGACTCCGTCGAATCCTTCAAACCCTTCCAGTAGCTACCACTGTGAATTGTGAAATCAGGTCCATATAGACACAATCACTATTAATCTATATATGACCCTTTGTTAGATATATATATAGATATATCGATCTTTACATAAAATGAGAAGAAAAAAAATACTATCTCATAGGGAGTAACATTTTATAGACTTATATACAAGTCTAGATTTTACAATTGATGCTGTATACATGTTTAGATCACGTCAGAGCCACACAAAATTCCGTTTGGAAACATTCAATGGGGCTAGTATTTAGATCACGTTTGGGAAAAAGAAAAAGGAAAATAAAAAACATTGGCCTGCGTTTGATCAAATGAGAAAAATGTGTTTTTAATATAGAAGCAACTCAAAGGTAACTTTTGTACTGCGTTTATTAAATTTTGCCATCAACTTTATTATTTTATAGATAAAAATTAAGTATAAATTATTTTATTTTAATTTTTTTACCTAAGTTAATTAGTTTTGATCTAAAATTAAGTTTAGAAACATATATTAGTCTAAATACATAGTAATTTAGCTTTTGATATATACCTGTTTCATGTCACATTAAAGCGATTACTTACGTATTAAATTGTTATAATAAGTGACCTATTATATATAATGATTCAAAATCGTTATTATAGACTACCTATAGCACATTCACAGATTCTTTATTTATTTATTTTTCTTCATTTTTTTACTTATAACACCTAGGTTAACCAAGTCTTTAGACTCAGTGATCTATTATTAAAATATGAGAGGTCAGTCTTATACTTTCAAAATCAATTCTCGCTCATCTGTGTTTAAACTCAATTCTCATATGTGTTAAAATAATATTTGTTTCATAAAAGTTATATTCTACACACATAGATTAGTCCTTGATTTGAAACACTGTACGCGAACATTCTCATGAAAAAAAAATAGTGATTTTTTTTTTACCGTTAATGTAGACTATTTTGAATTATTAAGAAAGTCTTTTTTCCATAAAAGTGTTATGAACTAGATAGTATACCTGTGCAAGGCACGGGTTAATTTTTTTCTTTTAACACATTTGTATTATGAAATTAAATATCAGTATTTCTATAGTATATAAAATAAAGTATAATATAAGATTATTGAATTTTAAGTTAAACAATAATATGTTAAAAAATAATGTATGATTATATTAAATAAAAAAGATAGCTAAATACCAATCGTAGCTAGTGTACACATAATACAATATTAATTTGTTAAAAAAAAACATAACTAAATACTAATCTAACAATTCTAAAAATATAATAAGAAATATTACATATAGTGACATACAAAAAGTGTCACTATAAATACAATATATATAACTATATATCTATTTAACATATATAGTTACATTATATTTTAGTATTGATTTTGAATAAGATTTAACAATATATTTTGTGTGTCATTATAGCCTATATTCACACTTTTTAACAATATACCAACATATATTATATTTATTGTATGAGTAAAAGTAATTTTTAGTGACACACATTGTATCGTTATAAGATATGTGTCATTATATGACAGTTTTCTTGTAGTGATAAGACAATATTAGTTTGTTTTAAGAGACTATGATAAAATATAACATACTTAATTAATAATTAATACATCAATTTTTTCTTAAAATTGAATATAAACATTCAAGCTTCATTATTTGATATTGATCCGGATGCATTTTGTTTCTCCTGTGAATTAAATTAGAAAGTTAGTTTAGCATGATGTATTTTTTAATATAAAATAATGTAAAAATATCACCTTTTTGTAAGAGATGATAAAGCTTGACATTGGAGCAAATCCAATTTCAATGCCTTCTTGATAGCCAAATATCTTTAACCAAAAATATATATGAATTAAAACAAATTATATATATGATATTAATTATTAAATTTCCATTTTTTTATTTTAAATGAAATCATATACGTACTTTTCAAGTCAGGGAATGTTGGAGTTTTGAATTTATGGGAACATTAGTTATTTTTTGTGTACTTTGAAGTGAAACCTCATCTGTAAAATACATTATTAATAACTGAAAAATCAAAATTTAAAATTAAAAAATTAATTTACATGTTTGTACTCCAAATAGAAGACCATGATATGGACAAATTTTTGCAAATTGGAGTGCTATAATGGGTAGATCATCATACGGTTCATCATAATCAATTAGAAAATCAATTAGTCTATTTGCACATGAACCTAACAACATGCACTCAGTTCGCATGCTACAACATAAAAAATCCAAAATCAGTATAATTAATAAGTGGATTAAAAAATTAAAAAAATATAAATATTTTATAAAAATAAATAAATCATACTTAAGTTATGAAAATAAGAGTTTCAACTCTTTACTTCGACATCTCTTCATCAATAAACCAAAAACATCGAAAGGAAGTTACCCTGGTTAGTACAGGGAAGTTACCCTTACATGTGCTATAAACTCGTATATATCAAAAAAAAATTATTTATGTAGAAATAATATTAATTTGTTACATTATTATGATATTGGTTTAGTGACAGTAATAACTCAATGTATATATGATTCCACAAGTTCCATTTGTTTCTTTTTTATTATTGTTGGTAATTGAATGTATGTGTGATAACTAATTAGATTCTTTAATCACTAGGGTTGACTTAGTAGTTGGGCGAGAAAAGATTGAGATAGTTAGAAGTATATATGAGAACCTAAGTTCAATCCTTATTACGATAATCTTTATAATCTTTTCTATCTTTATAAGAAAAAGAAAACTATTTAAACTCTTTACAATCAAGAGTATTATTTAAATGGGGAGATAAAAATGCTTCGTGATAATTAAAAAATTAGTAGAAACCCTTCAACATTAATTAATATTTAGAAAGAAATAAAATTATAAATATGACAAGTAAAATATTAATGAAGTGATAAAAAAATAGAGAAAAATAAAAGTTATACTAACAAAATTTGACATAATTGATAATAATTATCCCTTAAGTATGTAGATAGAGATTTGATTCTTAATATGTATGTATAAAAAGTTATTTGTTAATAGAAGTTAACTCTTTAAATAAATATGAATATCTCGTGAGTTTATTCCTTATATTTTAGCTAGTGGATACAATGATTTATCAAATAAATAAGAATAAAATTTGAGTGTTAATTTATCATTTTTGAGATAAGTTTGTTTTGCTTTACTTTATTTCCCTTACTAAATGATGGAAATATAGAAGTTTCAATTTCTTAAAAATGTATGATTGAGTATAATTTAATCCCACAAAA